TGTATTGCATTTTCAATTCATTTTATTTCATTTCATGTACAGTGTGTATTTCAAACCAGACAAAAACATGAGGCAACCGTCATAAATCGGAGAAAACTGAAAAGTGCGGACTGGTTACCAGTTTCGTACATTATTGGTCATTGCCTTGTCGCAAGTAATTCACTTGAATTTGTGAGGTAATAATTTTTAAATAACAAAATTGGGGCCGATTTTTTTTTTCAACCGATGTCTCATTTAAAAGTAAATAATATTGTTTAGCTAGAAAAATAGGAATTAAATTAAAAAAGGAATTAATTTTTTCGGGATGAAATTCAAATATCGCATGGGGAATGCAAGTTTAATTGGATTCAAAAGCAGATTAATGTGTGGGCATTCTGAAGGTTTTTCGCAGGAAGTTCTAAATAAAATATCACTATCGTTATAGCCATGACATTTTCCCTCTACGTAATTAGACCCCAGTATAGTATGCAGACGGACCGACTAACGCAAATTCCGTCTCACGTGAAGACACCGCCTTTACATCCTCGGCAAAGCCGTTATCTTTACTTAGCATCCACTCAGCCCACGCTTGCTTCGTCGGTAATACCAGTCATCAAGGTTGATGATAAACGACATCGTTAATTGAACGTCGTGCCACTATAGAGCCATCGGGCAGTGACTAGGGATGCATTAAACCCATTGTTTATCCACCAAGGTTTCAAACAGCAATATTATTTAAATGTATAAACAAAAAGAGACTCTTCCGTTTAGAAAACGTTTTAAAAATCTAGGAATTGAAGCTACATTATATGTGTCATCACTTTTCAAAATAACAATGGATTGATCCAATTAACCATAGGTTACATTCTATCAATTACTAAAAGAAATTAAAAAAAAACACTTAAAACGGAATTTGTAATGCTATGAATGAACTACACCCAATTAACATTCCGTCAATGAACAAACTGAAATTAATGTACACACAAGCCTCGCAAAATGAAGGATTTTGTTCGAATATTTGAATATGCGGTCATTCGGGGAGTCAGGTTGGCGTAGCGGTACTTTCCTCGCCTTCCACCGCTGTGACCCGGGTTCGAATCCCGCCTGGGTCAATATGAGGATTGGGTTTTCAGTCCCTACCTGATTCCATGGGTTTTCCCCAGAATATTCTTCTGGGCTTTTCCTCCCACCTCTAAACCTGCAACTTCTTCTCACTGTCTTCTCTCCACAGGTTTCTTCTGGCTTGCGAGCTACAGTGCCTATCGCACTTTTGAGGATTACCAGAAATGATGAGTAATAATTTAAAAAAAATAATTAAAATACTAAACTTTTTGAAAACAGACCGCCCTAGTAGATGGAATTCACGTGCATACACAGTGTAAGTGTGAGTTTATCAAATCTGATTTGCCTTCGAAGGTAACACAACGTTTTTCCATCTTGCTGGGTTGTGCCTGCAAGCATTGATTTATGCTGACGAGGATGTTCCATGGTGTTTGTTTTATTTGCACACCTGGCTTGTAGCGAGCTGTGGGGCAAGGGAAGGACACTGACAGGATCTAGGCATTGAGGGGTGCGAGAGGAGAATCCAGGCGCGTGAGGAATAGCAATCGACAAACTGTAAAACAGGGAATGAAAATAATGAAGCAGATTCCACTCATATAGAGTATCAGGCCCGTCGCCAGCCCTGAGCATCAGAGGGGGCCATAGTATCAACTAGGGGGCCCACTACCATAAAAAGTACACAAAAATATGTATGGCTTTTGCCGTTGGGGGGGGGGGGGCATGTGCTTAGCCCCCCTTGGGCCTGCACAGTATGGGCTCCGTGCACAAGTATGTACTCCTTCAACGGCCAGAAAAGGAGAGTTGGGGGAGACCTACATGTAGACTGGTTCCCGGTCCATCTACTGTGTGATCCAAGGTTATTGGGGGTGGGGAGTACAGTCTGGGAGACCATCGCAAGTTATATTTTACTGTATTCACGAGCCGATGACGCCTGACGCTCACGCGAAGACGCTGTGGCTAATAGCTTGGCACATTCAGGAAGTTGTGCGTACTTCGCGCGCGAACCAGTACAGTATACACAAGCTGTGTGTCCCGTCCAAGGGGCTCTCAAAAGTTGAAAAAAAACGCCCTCTTTTGTTGGCGCACTGAGCCCATAGGCTTTAGATCTCTCTCATGCATGTTCAACGCCATCAGGTGGGTGTGCTCGCAGTGTGCAAAAAGAGAGCAATATATAGTGTTTTTACTATTTAGGCCCCCCCCCCAAAAAAAGTCTCCGGTTTCTGGTATGGAGCTTGCCCAAAAAGTGGTGCGGCGACGGGGCTTTTATTTTTTTTACCTGATTTTTTGCTTCAAATGTCGGCTGATGACTGCAAATGGTGCCCGACTAAACTTAGTGAAAATATATGGGAGTCCAGAGAGGCCACATAAAGCTTATTCTCGACCATAACCCAATCTAAAAACACGTTAAAATTGTGCAGCAGCAGGAATCCATTGAAAAAAAAAAAATTCCATTTTGCCGACGCGCATGGCTACGGCGACGCGCGCGCATACCAGAAACCGGAGACATTTTTTTGGGGGGCCTTATGGATTGACTGCTACATTTTTATTGACACGCTATACAGCCAAATGTCGATAAATTTCGAATGTGCCCAAACCCATAGTATCTTGTACATGAGTCACAAATGCACATGAGTGCTGGTATGCAGCAGCAACAGGGCTGATGTACAAAACTAAATGCGTGGCAACAATTACTAACATTGTGCCTGTATCCTAAGGCCCCCCCAAAAAAAGTCTCCGGTTTCTGGTATGGAGCTTGCCAAAAAAGTGGTGCGGCGACGCGGCTTTTTTTTTTTTTTTTACCTGATTTTTTTGCTTCAAATGTCGGCTGATGACTGCAAATGGTGCCCGACTAAACTTAGTGCAAATATATGGGAGTCCAGAGAGGCCACATGAAGCTTATTCTTGACCATAACCCAATCTGGCAGGATTCCAGTCAAACCAGTGAGTTTGGCGGTTTTGAGACATCGTCTTTCATTGAAAAAAAAAAACTTTTTCATTTTGCCGACCCGCATGGCTACGACGACGCGCGCGCATACCAGAAACCGGAGACTTTTTTTTTTGGCATAACACTGTGGTAATGATGTACATTTACATGTAGATATACACATTAAAATTAACTGGCTATCCAGACATTTGCGACCATAAAACTGTTTCTTTTATGTCATTTTCATGGGATCGCAGAAATTTGCTGAATTTTTAATTCAAGGGTAACAGCCGAAATGTATTTCTCGTCTCAATTATCCATACACACATTGTACTGTACCCAGACATGGCACAGACATGAAGAGTCATAAACTGCCGACCACACCAAATATATATGTCACCCAAACAGCAATTAAGGGGGATGTTTTAAAGGAAATATACAACATTTGCAAACATCGAAAAATAAAATTACCAAGTTTTTATGAAATACCTAATACTAGGATGTTGGTAAATGACAGTCTAAAGCATCCTGTAAAATTAAAGCACCTGGTGTGAAGTCATTTTCAAGAAAACTGTATTTTTGTATAAATTTCCAACAGTGGTCGGCCGACCACCGTTGAAAAACCTAACTATTTTTCAACTACTGCTCTAACTTCACCATTTTTGTCAGTCCAAATTTTGTTTGCTATTGGTTACATGTTCATGAACAGGTGCAGGCCAGCTAGACTGGTTCCCTTACCTTACAAATTTCTGGCACCTATAAATTGATCCATTTTATCTTTAGTGGAGTCAGGGAACCAGACTACTCCACCATTTGTGTTTTTCTTGGTTTTCCAGCATTTTCGAACACAAAACTTCAAACATATCAGTGGAACAATATTTGATCGATCATAGTAACCCTTAAAATAGTTCATTTCTGAGAATTACAGCAAAAACCAATGATGTACATTCCCTTTAAAGATACTGCTCCTCAACGATTAAAAAACCTCCAGAGCTAGCCAACCTCCGCACGAATCGCGGAGATCGTTATCCAGCGTAGACGGCAGATAAAATTACCTCACGCTTCGACGAACACCCGGGAAAGACTGACGCTTACAGTTAATTAATAATGATCTGTTTTCCCTCTTCTTCTTGTCTCTCGCAACTCCCCTCCCCCCCCCCCCCACTTTCCTCCCATTGTCTTGCATCGTAAAAGAAATTGACGTGCGTGAGGATAATTTATTGACTGGTTGAAGTATGACCTGCTGTGGCAGTGTGCTGTGGCAGTGTGAGATTACATCAAATGATAAAATATTTTATTATTTCATTGGCTATGTAGAGTACACAATTTTGACATTTTGTTAATTATTATCTAATTGCTGTTACTGCTTTGGATTCTATACAAGTAATTTTTTTGGAAATTTTAATAAAAATCTGAGTTTAGGCCAAAAAAAAAAAAGACTCGGTCTCTAATCAGCGCGCACGTTGATTTTAATCATGCGCGTCAACCTTTTTTTTTCTTCAAATTAACACGAAAGCTACAACAGCACCCTCTATTGCCGCGCCTCTTTAAATTTGTGTACCAAGGAGCACCAAGGAATGGGGAAATTGCACCAAGGCAAATGATAAAGGGCACCAAGGCAAATTATGGAGGACACCAATGTACAATGAGGACACAAAAAAGCAGTGGCAGGGTTTTGCAGATCCAAGACAGGCCCCTTGCAAAATTTCACACCGGGAGTTACGGTTGTATATCCGCTCCGTTCACAAGTACCCCCTCACGGGCAAAGAAGGAACAGTTGGGGGTGACAGCCGAGAGAGGCCATCTTGCCTGACTGCAATTTTGCCGCGACGCACGGCCGTACCACTGTGTGTACATAGTACAAATCCCCTGGTGTATGTGCGTCACACACAAGAAACGGTGCGCGTCAACCAGCTAAATGTCCCGCCCATGTGACGGAGTTGCTAGGTGAAAGGGCGCCCTCTTTTGGTGTCGCACGGAGCCCATAATCATTCCTTATTTAAATATTTGAACCCTTTCTTTCTGTGCATTGTAGGACACAGCGGGACAGGAAAGATACCGAACCATCACAACAGCATACTACAGAGGTGCCATGGGCTTCATCCTAATGTACGACGTCACAAATGAGGAGTCGTTTCAGAGCGTTCAGGATTGGTAAGTCGGGCATGCAATGGCCAATCAAATGGTTTTCATCAGAACACCCTAAAAACAAGCCACTTCCTATCATTTTGTTGAAAGGTAGGGAAGATCCAACCTCGTCCCCAGTGCTTACTTTATTTCCAACCACGTTTCCAATAGTAAGCCCTGGATTGAAAACCTTCTTCCTGTATCCTGATTCGATACCGCAATTGGCTAGAAATGGATTTATATTGTGTACTTGGTGGTGTTATTCACAACGTGCAGTACGTGTTTTCGAGATTATTCGTCCATGCCTTCTCAAAAATACTCATTTCCTCTCCAATATATTCATAATGTGCTCTTGAGCAAGGCACTTTACCATTATTGCTTCGTCCTTCGTATGGGGCGTAAAGCCGTAGGTCCCGTGTGTTGTGTAATGCACGTTAAAGAACCCAGTAACACTTATCGATAAGAGAAGGGTTTGCCCTGGTGTTTGTTGCAGTGGCTGCAATATGCGCCGCAGCACCTTGTAAACCCTTATAAGGTGCTACATAATGGGTCTCATATTTCTCATAAACTTTATTTACCTTTCTTTAAAAATAGACATATCTCCAGCGCCTTGAGTACCTAATAGTTGGTAGATATGTGCGCTATATAAGACTCCGATGTTATTATAATATGGTACATTTATGTTGAATTTACATAAAATAAGAAATTTAAAATAGAGGGGATACATGAGCCCATAGACCGTAGTTATTAGTCGAGGTTTTTTTCTCGTTACCGACAGGTGTACGCAAATCAAGACGTACTCGTGGGACAACGCGCAAGTCATCCTGGTGGGCAACAAATGCGACATGGAGGACGAGAGAGTCATCGCCACCGATAAAGGGAAATCGTTGGCCGACCAACTCGGTAAGACTTCGTATCCTAACCAGGGCCTACAATCCTGGCCAAATCTCGCTGGGCCCCCAACCCCCCGGTCCCCGTTCCATGTTGTCTCTCATTGCGCGGTGTGTGCTCCATCAGCTGGAGAGAACAACATTGACCAGGGGAGCGGGGGATCGGAGTGGGTGACCGTGGCAGGCTCAGGAAGTGTCCCAACCATTTTGGCCGGATTGTAGTTTCATGGCCCTGCTAACCACAGAATTCTGCGCTTACAATCACAATTCTCAGCTTACTGTGTTAGCAGGGACGTTCTGCGCTAACCACATAACTTAGAGAATCCTCAGGGGATGTATGAATGCACATAAACCAAACTTCCTTGCTAACCCATGAAATACGCTAAACGTAAGCACAGAATTGTATCGTACAGTAAGCTGGGATTTTCCGCTAACAGTAAGCAGAGCCATGAAATTGGTCCGGGATTTCCTCCCTTGCCAATATGCCGTCTCTCCTTTGTTTTTATTTCATTTTCGGATTGCCACGATGGGATTTATTTTCCTGTCCCTACTCGACTGATGAGTGTTTTTTTTCCCCAGTAAATATTCCCCCGGATGTTTATTCTCCGGCTTCTAAAATTAACGGGGCTCCACAATGTGTATTTTGTTCCTTACAAAGTATGTACACATTATGGCCGATTGAGTAAACATTGCATTAAAGGCTACCGAGCTGGCAAAAGTTTGATGAGATAAAGATTTAAGGTAGCACCATGTGACAAATCTCTTTTGTGAGTTTGTGATGTTCTGAAAAGAACTGGGGGAACTCAACGTTTTGAAAAGTATGCTCTGCCCGTCGTCAGGAGACTGAAGAGTTTGTTGAATCTGCAAACGAAAGAACACAAATGTGATGTGATCAAGCTACATGAGTCGTTTGTCGACCCTGGTCAAAAAAAAAAATGTTATTACAGATTTCAAAAGAGCACAATCTCAGCATTACTGCTGTGAAAACCGCATGCTGATACCATCTTTAGTTCAAAAATTATGGGAGTCGGAACACCAAGAGATGTGATGAAGCGATGTGATGAAGTGGCCCTATTTTGGCCTGAATCTCCACATAATAATTCCTGACAAACAACTCATTTAGCTTGATCCCATCACAAATTATAATTTGCAAACTGGCACTCTCTTGATGTTTCCTCAATGTGGTTTTTTTTCCCCCAAGGCACAGGCATTTTGATATTTTTTCCCATTTACTTGATTCAACCTGAACAAATTCAGAAGGCACATGATTTGAAAATCTTGAATTCATCAATTTGAGGTTTTGTGAGTTAGAGAGCTGTGGAGATTTCATTCGTGCTGCCTGCAGATATTTGCAGGCTGTCATGTGATTTATTGCCTGCCACATGCGTCCGTGTTGCAATATGGGTCATGAAACAAAGCCAGCTAACTGCGTTAAAATTTAAAGGGCTCAATATGCAATGTAATTTTTTTTAATGCAGTCCTTGAAAATGCACCTTTGTGTCCCGTTTAACTTTATTTTCAAGCTTCGTTTTGCCATTTCCAAGGGTGTTTCGGTACCTTTTTGGTTTTTATGCTAATGCGAAATTCCATATTCATGAGCAAAAGTGTGATGTCAGTTCAGGCAGAAAATCTCAATATTGTAGCTATTCAGCATCAAAAGTTGCAAGAATTTCAAAGTTACAAATATCAAAACCTGAAATTCAAAAAAAAAATCCGCATCATTTTTTTTCTTTTGGGGTGGCATTTTCTCCACTACGGTTTGTGCCCAGTTCTGTCTCATTTTGCCAAAATGCCTCAAAATTCCGAGTGAAAATCGCTCTGGTATTAGATCAAATTACTATGAAAAAGAATCACTCTAGTGAAAATCAGAGTGAAAAAAAACACAATATATTAGATCGCATGAGTATATCACTCCAAATCATCTTGTCCTGAGTTATGCACGGAAGGAATTTTTGTTCGAAAAGACAGAATCTTCAATCTAAGAGAAAGTCTTTTTCAAATGTTGATGTGCATATACACTCCGTTCTGAATGACAAGGAACGATAACTTCTGGCTTTCATACGCATACAGTACACATGTCCTTAACATATGACAAGTTCAAGTTGATCAGTCATTTCAATTCTTGCGCATCGACTGTCTCATCCATGGCCATTTGCGAGCCGGATCGTTGCCTGAAGCCATTAGTAGCTCGATCGCCACATTTTTTTTTCTTTTTCGCTTTGGGAGATGAATTGCTTTGGTACTTAAAAATAAAAATCAATCATTCTCTTTGTCATCAAATGTATTTAAAAGTGATACATGCAGCTGCCATCTTTGGGGAAATGTTCCTGCCCTTTGGGAATGCGCCAGTGGGTGGTCGTTATTTGAATCATGTTTTATTCTTCTGAAGGCCGGTGTCATATGAAAATCGGACTCCTTTACCCTATTAATTGGCTAAGCACTCTACCAATTATCATCACCTAGGCATGCACAATACTGCCAATGAGTCGGTGTTACTTGGAGTCCTATATTGATGCTACACCAGTTCATACGTCATGCAAATACAGAAATTGAAGTCACAAAAACGATTTGCTGCAAAAATTTGCCGTGGTTAAAGTGTGCTCAACTCTTGCGAGCTCGCAGCCCGAAAATTTGCTGCGACATCACAATTGCAAAGCTTCATTGCTTCCAATGACTTGCGTCTGAAATATCCCGTGAAATTTTGTTTTTCGTCAGTTTCTTTGACGAATATCTGAACAGCTGGTATGATGTACATTGTACTTTTTAATCTACATGTGTAAGCAAATATACAAAAACTATTACAGTCTTCATAGATAAGCACTATGTTTATTAAAGTTCAATGTACATTTACATTGTGCAGTAGACCGACACGTACTGTATGTGTATTTAATAAGATGTGCCAGCATTTTTGTCTGTTTGAGCTGTGTACTCACCGTCATAAAATTGCATTCACAGAAATCTTGTGACATACTGAAAATTTGTAGAATTTTTTTTGTCTACATTTTACGATATATATTTAATGAAAAAAAGGGGGAAAATGTCTCTACATGGTTCTCAATTAAAGCTACAGTCAATCATTTGCAGCTATCCAAAAAGTAACTGACGTAAGTATTGTTGAAAGACATACTTGGTTCAAAGATAGTAAGGGGACTAAACTCCCTGTGAATTTTCTTTCTGGCAAGCTGTACTTTTGAAGAAATCAACGAATGAAGGCCTTTCCAACAGTGCATCTGGAAATTTCCGTTAGTCGTTCGTTTTTTTATTCGGCGAAGCGCACGCAAGCGTTGGCACAACGCACATGCGCGCGCGGTTGCTATAATTTGTCAGATCGGTGCGCGACATCGCGTAGCTGCAATCGGCTCAGTGAGAACGTGTCGCTGAATTCAGGCCCAATTCAAAACATGATTCAGCAACTTTTGATTTGAAATCGAGATCCTAGAATGCTGTTTTTCTTGGAATAGGCCTATACAGCTGAAGCTGAGCTGAAACTTCATAGTTGTTCAGCACCCTTCTTTAGATTTTGAGCATGTTTGTTGCTTCAAACGAACAAAATGCACAAATTACAAATGATGGACTGTACCTTTAAATATCTCAGCTATGTGTAGATTTCCTATATCTACAAACAGTGTTCGTAATTTGTAGTTGAGCACATGACATCGTCACAATCTGTACCTTGTAGTTTCATAGTCACAAGGTTTGAACCACTGTGGATTTGTTTATGAATTAGATTTATATCCTGGTACCAGTATACATACAATTTGCCAAACAAAGAGTTCCACAAATCTTAACTTCATTCAGGAAGGCTGCAGCCTTTTGGAAATGAAATGTTCTGGAAATATTTCATGCTCTGAAAATTTACTTCATTCACCGGAAACATCGACTGGAAATTAGGGACCAGACGTTTTTTAGAGTGAAATTGTCATTGAAAAGATGAGTTCTCACTCAATTGTCCACTAAATTGATTGTTTTTTCTTCAGATTACCTTAAAGTGTTTACTGTTACATAATGTGGCATTAGATGTCTGGGTATTTTCTTGTCTCAATCTGTACGCCCCCCCCCCCCCCTTCCAAAAAAAAAATAATGAAAATAGAAAATTAATGCTGATGATTTAAAAGGCAAGGAACGAATAATAATGGTCATGCTATGGCGAGTTTGCAAATTTGCCCAAACTGAAAGCACATTTGCTTGGCCAAAATGTATATTGTACAAAAATTGAATAATCATGAATCATCATTTGTCAACTTAACCGTTTCAGAAAACGTGTTCATTATATATTTTGTTGCTTCAAAAAAAGTTCTTTTGTCCTTTCATCAGCCCTTGCTTTCTCCTCGAGACTACTCTTTGTCAGTGCATAAATTACATTAACGTAACAAAAAAAATCTACTTTGAAATTTCCTGGGTACGCAAGAGCGGCGTAAACCATGGTTGAATGCAGTATACATGAGTAACAGCTCATGCATTTTGCAAGAAAAAAATCTCGTAACACAACCTGACCAAGCCAGTTTAGATTTAGTACCGGTATGTGTGGACACATGCACTTTCCAGTTTGATTCGTGTTGGACGCTAGTGCAGTAATTATTTGATACATCCGGGGGAGCATGTCAGTTTATGTCCGTCATTTGTCATTCCACTAGGATGCCATGGGAACGTAACCATACACACCTTGCAATATACACCAGACTGACATGAATATTTCATTTGCAATCAGTCATCAGTTCTCCAAGTGGTGTTGCTTATACATGGGCAACATCCTAGCATATGTTAACCTCCTTTTAGAGAGTTTTATTCAGTACCGTATCATGTAGTTACTTTTGGGGAAAATACATGGGCATTTGACCAGCGGCGTAGCCTGAGGATTCTCATTCTAGGGGAACATGTGGGGGGGGGGGGGGCTAGAGGTTACAATGGAGGGGCACCAAAAACTTTCATCTGTGCTGAAAGGTAGACAGGTTTTTTTCACCGGACACCCACCCTTCGTAAAATCACACCATCTTCCCATAGGGGGCGCTGTTC